GAAGAGAGAATCGACGGTGCTGAACATCCAATCATCGGCATTGACAAAAACCTCAAGACGGTCTTCGTAATACTTTTCTTGATCGAATGCAACTTCTTCGGGCAGTGCCAAAGTCTCAGCATTTGACTCTCGGGCTCGGGTCCGTCTGCTTTTCATGCGGCCGCCCTCCGGTTCTTCGTTCGCAGCCGACGCAGATGATCTTTTTCGAATGTCCACTGCAGAGTTTGTCTCAGCTTCTTCTGCGTGAGTCCCATCTTGTTCGGGATGCTGATCCTGTGGCTGCGTCGATTGGCGGTCCAATGACTCCATCAATTGCTTCTCAGCACTTTGATCGATCAATGAATGTTCCTCGCCTTGCTCAGAGGGGTCTTTCGTTGGCTGAGGTTCACTTTGTTCGGGCTTGGCATCGTTTTCGGTTGTCTCAAGCATGTCCACGTCGGTAGCCTCATTATCACCCTTATTCCCGCGCCCCTCGGTATCTACGCCCACTTCCGTGGCCTCCGCATTTGGGATCGGTGTAACCGGAGCTTGAGAGCTCCTGGAAGGCAAGATAATAGCAATAGACTGAGTGGGAACAGCAGCGAGCAAGTTATCGTTTTCATCGTCAAGTGCTTGGAGAAGCGCTTTGCCAACTGACTCCCAAGTCGAGTCAGCAGGGGTTATCTCTCGACGGGAAGCATGCAGGGAAAGGGGACCCTTTGAGGGATCTAGGTGGCGCAAATCGGCGGGAAGTGCCGGCAGGTTGGGATATGGATCCTCGTGGTGTTTGAGGTATTTCAATAAAGCTTTCTTTGGCCTCTGGACTGGAATTTGCGAGGCAGATAACTTGTCAAAGAGGGACTGCAGCGTGCTTCGCAGGCGCTGCTCCGCAAATACCTCCTCTAGGCCAAGCTGCTCTGGCCGCAATTCCAAGCGATTGTCATCGTCTGCTAGGACACTCTCCAAGCAATACCGAGACAAGCGGTAGCTGTTTAAGGCACTACTGAGCCTTGCGCTCTGCCTCCAGAGGTTGAGATCTGAGTCATCTCGTTCCAGGGCATCGCCAAAAGATCCCAAAGCTTTCCTGGATGCCTCCGTCAACTTTCTTTGTATTTCCTGCTCGGATTCGGGGGTCTGTGGCGCTGTTCGTATGGAGTCTTGTACTGAATCAAGGACAAATTTGCCGTGGTTTTTATAGGACAGGTAGAGCGTTTGGAATAGACTGGAGGTAGAGTCGTTGACGTTGAATTCGGCGATCGATTCTGTAGCAATTTCATCCTGCGCATCGTCGAAGGCACCCCTTTTGAAATCGGATATAGACTCTGGGTATTTGAAGATCTCCGAATTGAGAAGAGCTTCATAGGCCTCGGCAGCCTCAGAATAGTGCTCTGGCCCTTGCGAATGCAGCTTCAAGGCACTGTAGTAAAGCTTCAAGGCTTCCTCGATCTGAAGCTCCTTGGTGTCGTCAACTTCCTCTTCGACGGCCTCATCAGGCTCAACATTCAATGCGACCCAGCTCGACATGGTGTGAGCTCCACGCGGGTCCCTCAAATATTAGATGGAATAGAGAAATCAGGCGACAGCATCGGGCAAGATACCGAGACCATAGATGCGGGCAGCAATAATCAAATCAATTGGTTATCGCGGGCAGACACGTTATCACGCGTTGCACCAATCGGGGAAAGGGGTTGGGGCCTGAATGGTGCCTGAGTGCCTGAGTTCCTGGCCTGGTTGCCTTGTGGCCTGAAGCCCTTTTCTTGGGGCAGTACTGACAGTTGGAGTATTCTTAGATCACTCTTCACTTTCCCTCAGTGCAACCCCTGAAACGTCTTACGATTCACGCAGAATTCATTAATTAAGATACCCTCATCTTTAATTCTACCGCGGTTGTGCATGCGCCATGGTCGCGCCCGCTGTCCCTGAGTATGTGCTCCTGTCCCCGTTTACGTGTTCCCCGGGTTGCATATGCATGGCCATTGTTCGAGATTGTCAACAGTTGCCACTACGACAATTATAGGAATTATGACTGACATTGAGGGCATCATTCAGGATTCATGAGGAGGAGGATATCTATGTTGCGGTCGATGCGCGAACAGAGTCTTTGCAGAGCTTGCGAGAACTAGGCCCTCCAGACCTAGTCTATTTAGTGAAGCAGCCTAAGGCCAATTCGACTCGCCAGGTAAGATATAGGATACCACATTCCCTTCCATGATACAATCCCACATGTGTGAACAATCGATTCATTTTCTATCTACGACAGACCGGAGTTTATCACCATGTCACCGGAATCGATGCCTCCTCGTCCGCCAGTTTAGCCGCCTATGTTAATACCCTCACATTTTCTCCCCTCGACAAGACGCATAAAGTGGTATCGGGGATCTACTGGTTAGAATCTATGTTGGTACGGCATTGGGTTCACATGCTGATACCTATACAGTTGCTACAATGCATTCTCCCATCTCGATATGCGCGTCGAAGTTAAAATCCCCGGAAGTTTGGAGAGCTACTGCATTGATGAGCGCGGTGACAAGCGAGTTGCTACCGAGGCTCTTTGGCTTGAGACATTCCTTTGCTCTGTTCTGAGGGCTTACCTCTATGCGGACGATGGAAGCGGAGATTCCGTCAAGAGGATTGTTGGAGTTCGACGATTCAACCCCGTGACAAACACAGAGATGGAGCACAAGTTCTTGGATGCCGCCGAGAAGCTTTTCTTCTTGGGTATGGATCTCAGCACAATTCCCAAGGTTGCTTGTTGGGTCTCTGACTGACAATCTTTTAGGTCGCCAACTGAGCTCTGACCCCGAAACCCAAGTCCCTAACACTGTGAGCAACCACCTCACATCCGGCATCCTCAAATACATCCACACGACTGGCCGTTATACCTCTGGAATCAACTTGTTTGAGAAGCTCCGCACCAAGGATGTAGAGGTTTCGTCCCTCCTGGCTCGTGTACAGATTATGGCAGACGAGGAGGTGCAAGCGGTACGCCTCATGTACGACGCTTTACAAGATGTTCCGATGGACTATGCTCTGCTTGATTGCCAGGCTAGTTTCTGTCAAAGCAAAGGCGAAAGCGAGATGGCACTGGAGTGCGCTAAGCGTGCAGTCACTGCAGCTCCCAGCGAATTCAGTACATGGGCTCGCCTCGCAGAGGTATATGTCGGTATGGAACGCTGGGACTTGGCGCTTCTGACTCTCAACTCTTGCCCCATGTTCACCTATCAAGACAAAGATACCCCTCGCATGCCACAACCGTCACGCATCATGCTCCCAATTCTTGCTGAAAGCATTCTCGATGAAATCGATGAAGGCCAGCCAAAGCAGGGAGACCCTCATGACTACGTCCATCCTTCGCTCCGAAAGATCCATGCTGCTGGATACCAAGGTACTTTCTTGAAGGCCTACAATCTTCTGACAAAAATCGCTGCCGCTATTGGATGGGATCAACTACTCAAGGCTCGCAGCCAGGTTTTCGTGATGGAAGAAGAATACCGCGTTGAGCGTCAGCATGTTCCTAAGCCCGCTACATCATTGGAGGCGGAGACCAACGGCAAGATCCCCAACAACGAAGATGACTCCGGCTCTGTAGCCGGCCCTAATCCGACCGAGCCGTCTTCGGAAGAAACTGCCAATGGAGATGCGGAAGATAGCCACCCTAAAAGCCCCCTCGAGCGACCAGAGCAAACAGTAGCATCCGAAGTTGTCAAGTCAGGCAATGAAGATGTATGTTACACACCCATCAGGGACATATCTTATATATATGCTAACTACTTAAGTCACAGCCCGACCCATCTCACGCCTCCTATACGCAATTCCGAAACAAGCGACTGTGTGAAAGATGGCTAGATAACTTGTTCATGGTACTTTACGAGGATCTGCGCATCTACACTATCTGGCGGACCGAAATGGCCCAGTTCCGTCAACAAGCCATGGAATACAAGAAGTCTGCTACCGAGTGGGAAATTCTCGGCGAGCTTGCGCAGCGATTGCACCATTTCGACGAAAGCATTGAGGCATACCAGAGCTGTCTAGCCACTCGGTTCTCGCCCAAGGCTATGCGTGGAGTGTTGAAGTTGTACGAAGAGCGAAATGACACCAGAGGCATGCTCGGCGCATTGATCCGCCTCATCGCCTGGCAATATCGTTGGTACTCTGAGGTATGCTCCTTTCCCTGGTTAATCCCACCTTGACCACTATAACTAATAAACCATCAGTTCTCCCCCGAGCTCCTGTTCATGGTTCGCAAACTCATCGAGGACGAGGGTGCTGTCAAGGTCCGCAGCATTGTCCAAGCGACAAACCTGCCTCAAGCTGTCCTCGACCTCACACACCAGTACTGTCAACTATGTGCCACCTTCCGCAGCAGCGGTAGCGACACTTAAAATATGTTGGCGATTATCAGACACAAACTGAGTTAGAAGACAGTTCTGTCTTCCCCTGGAAATCAAGATAGAAAGCGGGGGCGCGGGCAGGGCTAATGACCATCCTTGATTGATGACACCTTTTTTTTTTTTTTGCTTTCTCTTGGTCCGATTGTTAGGTAGTTTTCTTAGATGGTATATATTTTCTATGTTCCGTATCTGGTTGCCGGATTGAACATGAAGGTGGATCTCATACGCAGTAGTAATTTAGCATTTGTATCCATTTAGGCCACGACTTCTACCTCCAATCACTGCCTAACGCCAGTCTATTTTAGGATCTGTACTGGAACTCACTGGAGTGGAGAAATATTGGACTCGGCCAGTAAATGAGCTTCAACGGCCATTTCTATGCACGTCATCTCCCTGTGCCCGAGAGCATAGCGAGGATTGGCTACTTCCATGCACGAACTACATGTAGTTTAATACCCTTGTATCTATATAGACCAGAGCGCACTTCTAATTCACAGCACTCTGCATTCATAGCACGTCTGATTGTATAGAGGTTATCACAGCAAAGCAATCCAACCACCCACCCACCCAAGGGCGAATTCCCCTTTCAAGTAAAATTCTTGTGAAGAAGCCAAGTTCTCGTTCGCAAAATCACTCCTCTTTCGTAACTGTCTCAACTTCGGGCAGATATGACTCCTTGGGAACAACATCACCCTTATCCTTAACAGCAGCGGCACCCGGGCCACTCTTCTCGGTGGTCTCGACGGCACTATCTTCCACCTCTTCTGCCTCAGCAGGCTCCTGGTCCTCATCGACGACAGTAGGCGCAGGAACAGTCTTGCGCTTCTTGGCTGCCGGAGCGCCTGGAGAGAGGTGTGTTAGCGTGGGCGACTTTGGAGATGAAGGGGATGTAAGGGCGCAAGGTAAACTGTACCTTCTTCTTCCTCTTTAGCTTCTTTCTTGGCTTCTTTCTTATCTTCTTTCTTATCTTCTTTCTTGGCTTCTTTCTTCGCTTCTTGCTTTGGTTCTGGCTGTTCTTCCTCTCCTTCCTCGTCTTCATCAGACTCAGACTCTCCCTCCACCTCTTCCTGTTCACCCTCGTCGCTTCCTTCCTCTACATCAGGCTCGGAGTCTTCATATCTAATTCACCGCCATTAGATTAGCAAAGATCAATTGTGTTTGGGAAGTTTCAGGCGATATATTCCAGTTCACAGTGGCTTCGAGATCGTGTCGTAATCAATGCGCAAATAGTATATCCGTGCAGAACAGTCAAATGATGCGCAGGGTACTGGCGCAGGGATGGGAAGAAAGGGAGAATTGATAACGGGATGGAACAACTCACTCTTCCTCCTCTTCGCTCTCATCGCTAGGAAGGGCCAGGAGCTCCTCCTCGGCTTGCTTTCTCTTGCGGGTAGTCATAGTAAAGAATTAGGGGGTTGGTGAGAATTAACTGATTGTAGAAGGTAGCTGGAGGGACGGGTGGAATTATGGGGGAGAGAAAGAGAAGTTGGATTGGCAAAAGTCCCAAGTCTAAGAGGGATGGGAATTAAAAAGGAAATGAGACGTCTAAGAAGGGGGGGGGGAACCTAAGGGCATAAGCGGAAGTGACGGTGACGACATGGGAGTGACACCCTTTAGGGTTCAGGTCCACGGCTGATAGCTTACACTCCGGTGCGTGGTCCATGAAAGAGTGCGTGTCGCCAGGAAACCCTGGATTCTTATTATTTACATTCCATGCCCATCTAGGGTATCCAAATGTTCCAGTGATATCCTCGGTATCCTTGACATCACGGGTTTGAATCGATCCAAATCTTTCTTTTGGGATCCTTATAGTCATTGTGTTAGAAAATCAAAATCTGCCATGCTTGGATCTAGCAGGTTCTCATCGAGGCCAAATCCATATGTGCCGACCATGCCATAGATCAGATCTGGCGGAGGGAAGCCCTGTGCCATGGCGTTGGCTCCCCCAGGGACCTCACGGCCTTCCACTGTAGTATCATTGCTTTGGAATTGCCAAGCAGCCTCCCAAGCGTCAAACCGCTCAAGCATCTTGCCCAATCCACGTGCGATATGTCGAGTAAGATGTCGCTCGCCTGCAGAAACACAATTCATCAATTCAATCACACGTTCAACTAGCCGGCGTACTTGGCGGGGGTTGATGCTAAGGTAAGCTGTGTTCCAATTGATTGCGACCTTGAGTAGGAAAACAGCGGAGAATGTAACCATAGTGTGGGTGAAAATCGGAACGCCGACGATCGCATCTCGAATATCAGGCTCCTCGAGGACCATATTGAGACATGCCATCGCCGAGGAAATTGCGATGTTGGCCGATTCCTTGCGGTCCATAGAAAAGACAGGTGTGTTGGATGGTGAGAGCGCACGAAGAGAAAGCGAGTTCAGCTGGAACTTTGCAAAATGGTAGTGCAGAACCACCCCTTTGGATGGATAAGTCCGCACATAGGCGCTATCGGCTGTAATGCATTCCATGGTATGTTAGAACCGAGAGTTGCTGAGAGTTAACTTGAACAGTTACTCACCAGATCGAGGTTGCCAGAGAAGTCGCCATTGGTCTACTGCGACATTGTATACGCGCAACTGTCCAAAATCATCCTCGGTCAATGCTTGTTCAGTATCGCTACCAAACATTCGATATGCCTCGGTCAAAATCATAAAGAGAGCAACTTGAGCTAAAAGTCGAATGTCTCCGGGGACAATCATCGGCAGCGCGAGAAAGGTCTCATAGTTCCGGATCACCACATCCTCGTGGATGACAGGAGGCCGCCCATAAGCAATACTGAAGTGATGATCGCATACGTAAAGCAGATACCAGAGCTGGGCACGTTCATACTGATCCGTGTGTCCACGGGTCAGGCGCTGATAACTTTGATGGAGACCCATCTCGGTCGCGATTCGCACCGCATGCCCGGACAACTTCCAACTCAACTCCGATAGCCAGAATGCACCCACGCAGAGCCCTCGGATATCATCCAAAGTGTGGGCCCGCGTGAGGGCCATGTTGGAGACGAGCGATACATACTCGCCGTAGCACCGGTTCAAGGTTTCGGTGCGGTTCGGAATATGGAGTGCCGCGACAGTCAAAACTGCAGCAGAAAGAAGCGTCGATGAGCGACGGACGGACGTTAAATCGCGATGTACAAGGATTATTCCACCCCACAGTAGCTGGTTCATAGTGCGACTGAAGTACGCGAATAATTCCTCCGCTTCATGGAGAGAGATCAATCGTCGCGAGATAAAATCTTCCTCAAGCAACGTCTGTTTCGGTGCCTCGACATGATTGTTTCTCAGGTTCCGCAATTTAGTGACCTCGTATAGACTGCGCATAGGAGCGGGGACCAAATCTGGGTCTTGAAGATCCTGTTCCGGCGACGGCTCCCGAGTAACATCCATCACAACTCCCAATCCCTCCTGGTGACTGGTGTGTGTCTGCGACCGATCGACGGAGGGATGGTGGGTATGATACGACTCGGCAGGACTGGGGCCATTGAGAGTGTCCCCGAGGGCATATGTTGAGAGGTCTGGCAGTCCACCTTGTCGCAATAGATGTGAAACAGCCGCCTGCAGCTGGAGCATAGTTGCATTGGCCTGTGATTTCCATCTATACCAGAGCCATTAGATTAGCGCAGCCCCTGATAGCTCCAACGCTCACCACAGGGCCGGGGCGGGGTCACACGTACCTCCCATCATCATCAACGAATTTCTGTGAAAAGTCATTTACGACGCACTTGATACCGCTGCGGGTACATTTTGTACAGGTTGACTCTCCTGATCGAAACTCGCAACGAATCTTATGGCGCTTGCATTCTGCGCCTGTTCCCCGTTAATGCGGGTTATCGGGGATTATGTGGGGAAGACTCACAGGCGCGAGCTTTAGAGATCTTGGGGACAGACCGTGTCTTGCTCCCTGGGGGCGACTCCAACCCAGCGTCATCAGGAGACCGCTTCAGTGGAGTGGTATCCATGATATGATGCTCTAGAGAATGGTCGGCGATACTCCGGCATGCGGGTTAGGGGCAAAATATTCGGGGTGGGGGAGAAAAGTCGGAGTAAAGCGACCTGAGAGGCGAGTATGCCGAGAGAAGTTGCAATTATATGGCCAATGGGTGTATCAAGAGAAAAGAGAAAAACAAATTGTGTGACTTGGACCCCCCCGCGCGACTTTCCCGAAATCCACACAACTTTGACCGAGTTTATACAAGTTATACATCGAATGCTGTTTTCAAGGTTACGGCTTTGATCAGTGGAATATGATGGATAAAGCCTATGTCTATGACTTCCAATGGTCACAGTACTCCGTACAAGGCATTCCCCCGGATTCAACCAGGTGAAGAACAAAAGAGGGCCCTGGAGGGCCCCCCCGAAAGATGAAACTCCAAGGCGATTCGTTCGCAGCAGTTCCACAGCAGATCCACTTGGAAATGGTGTTGTGCCGGCCCAAGTCCGGTGCGGAGGACCAACTAAAGATCGCCTCGGACTTGATGCGAATTGCGGAGAGGAAATAAACTTACATATTGGAACAGCTTTCCCTCCGATATTCTCTGTTCTATCACAATACTATATCTCACAAAATGCACATCCTCATCACTGGCGCTGCCGGTTTCATCGGCCAATTGCTTGCAAAGGAGCTGTTGAATGACCCAGCTTATCGCGTCACACTGACCGATATACACCAACCCCCAATTCCCGCGGGCGTTCGCTATCCTCAATCCGCTACGGCAATCAAGGCCGATCTCTTGACAGAAGCCAAGGTCATTGTCGATTCTTCCTTGGATGCCGTCTATGCCTTCCACGGCATCATGTCGTCCGGCTCTGAAGCCAACTTCGAGCTGGGTATGAGTGTCAACATCGATGCAACCCGCAACCTGCTCGAGGCGCTCCGACTCACCTGCCCGGGAGTGCGGGTCATCTATTCATCCAGTCAGGCCGTATACGGCCAACCATTGCCAGAGATTGTAACCGACAGCGTGATCCCGACTCCGGAGTCCTCCTATGGCGCCGAGAAGATCGTGTGCGAAACGCTGGTGAACGAATACACTCGTCGCAAGTTCATCACTGGCTTCACTCTGCGATTCCCTACCATCTCCGTCCGACCGGGTGCGCCTACTGCTGCAGCTTCCTCCTTCCTCTCCGGCATGATCCGGGAGCCCCTCGACGGCAAGAAATGTGTGATTCCCATTGAAGACCGACAGTTCAAGTCGTGGCTATGCTCGCCCAAAACCCTTGTGGAAAATCTCCTTCTTACTCTCCGTCTTCCTTCTGACTCTGTTCCCCCGCACATTCGCCAGATTAATGTTCCTGGAATCTGTGTCACGGTCCAGGGCATGATGGATGCATTGGAAGCAGTGGGTGGTACGGATAAGCTGGCTCTGCTTACAGAGAAGGAGGACTCTGCGTTGGTCCCAATTCTGAAGTCATGGCCGACGCAGTTTGATAACACCCAAGCCATTTCCTTGGGGTTCAAACGCGACGAGTCCTTTGAGCAGACCGTGCGGGATTATAAACAATCATTGGCACAATAATTATTATTTCAATCGTAAAAACTTCAATATCATTTTATTAGTTGATTTCTAAACTATTGGTCATTTTACTATTTACAAAACAGAGACAATGAACGCATATTTTATTTTTGATATAGACCAGGATTCTCCACGCCCAGTCAAGACGGTTGTCAGCCCAAGTCACCACCGCCCGCTTTTCCTGGACCAAACCTCCCTTCAACTCCCAGGTTGTTGATCGGAAAAGCGACTCGGTGAGATAATCAATTAATTTCTCCCTCCACTCCGAATCATAAACTGCTCCAACATGGCGACACAAATTTCCCTTCTCGTGTACAAAGGCGTGCCAGTAGACTTCTCCAAATACCGACACACAGCACTACACGCCCTCTACCCAGACGGCCAATATGACTGGCTTCATGCTGCCGGCGCACATCCTTTCTTTAAGTTCCAAAAGGACCCCGAGAACCCCATGTCAGAGCGGCCAATAGGTTGGATTCCTGTATGTACGACGCCAGAAACTGTGACCAAGGCGAAGATCATTCTTGCATGTGCTAGCACGTCGGTGCGCAACGGCAATAACGATCGAGACTGGAACTGCCAGAACTGGGTTGGAGAGGCTCTGACCGAGCTCGTTAAGATTGGCTGTTTGACCAAAGAAGAGCGCGCAGCGGCCATTAATAAAATGGTAGAGATTATCTTGGAGGCGGAGCTAGAAGATGTGAGTTGGAAAACTGTTCCATGGAGGAACTATATATGCTAATGTGAACTTATTGCTCTTGCATAGGACGGGATGTATTGATATGGTTACCTAGTGAATACTAAGCTGAACGATTGATGAGACTTTGGATGAACTCTTCTCACATGCGGTGCCCGAAGTAGTCTTTTGGCCTCTTAAAATATGCTTTAAAAAGACATTCCATAAATACTCAAGGTATTCATCGTTTGCCCCAGTCTTACACTTATTCAATAAACAACCTCGACAGAAACCGTCGCTTTTCCCTTTCTTAGACGTCACAAAGCTCCAGACACTCATCACTAGTATGAATATATTACTCTCGGAATGTGTCCCGTAAGGAATTTCCCGGACGAGGATATAAGTGATCGTTTCTCCAGAAGGCCTTTATGACTTTTCCAACACCATTCTCGTCCATTGTCATGTTCCTGCATAGATCAAAGTCTAGCATCCACATGCTGTGTCTTCCCAAGTCATTGTTGATGTGCCCACCATCGTTACTATTGCAGGGTGCGAGGACAAACTCAACATCATTGGTATCTATGCCAGCAATCCAGTGCATCATAGCAAGTGCTTCTGCCACTATTCGGGCATATCGAGGAGTGTCATCTGCTGCGATCGCCAGCTCCTCGAGTTGGTTTTCATCTAACTATATTCAGGATCTCATATCTCTTAATACATTATTTAACGGAACATAGCGGACTATATGTCACCGACACAGTAAAACGGATATCATTTCCAAATCTGGGATTCTCTTAGCACGCATCCTGGGGTTTGAATCAACAGCTTGCCCAAACCTGTCCATCGATGGCAATAAGCCGATTAAATAATTGGTTCCTTGTCCCCATGGCAGTAAGTCGATGTGACTGCTCTGGCTTCCTGCCAGTGATGAGCAACCCATCAACCACCTCCTTACTACCAAGAGCCCAACCAACAACCAATTTCCCTTTCCATCCCATACCACCTAATTTTCGCATCTCCTGGATATCAGTCACCGGCATGGTGAACAGAACCGATCCAGCCTTGCGATTCTCCAACGATGCGTCTCCCTGCTGCGGTGTATCGGTCGTGAAATACAGCAGTGGAGGCTGTTTGGTTGAGTCGATGACCACAGTGCCGCGCTTGCCCTTGCAACGAGCGTCAAATGCCACAGGGCCACTTGGTATTATCTTCTTCCCTCTATCACGTAGGACACCCAAACGATTCTTGGCCTGGTGTGAACCGACCGCTGCTCGCAAGCGATCGATCCCTCTTTTGCTCTCGACACCACTGGCCGTAGTTCCTCGAAAGAAGCTCAGGACGCTGGATCCAAATGTCCTTTTGTGGCCCTTCTCTGGCGAAGCTTGGACCTCCTCGGTATGGTCATCACGCTTGACCAGAGCCGCTTGTTTAATTTCCTCGTCAGTAGCGCCTAGGTTGATTTCCTCATTGTTTAAAGAAGTTGGCCGCGAGGGCACTTTGTCTTGTGTGGTTGGAGGGGGTGGAAGTGGTGACGCATTAGCCTCGCCAATGCGAAGAAGAGTAAGGGCCAGCTGGGCATTTGTTGGAATGCCTTTCAGAAGCAAACTATACTAAAGTTAGTATTGTGAGTACATGAATGGCTTGAAGGCATACTTTTGTAACTCAACAAGCTTCTGCCACTCGGGGAAGCGGGTATTCAGATGTACAATCCCTCGTCTGATGGCAGGGTCTCCAAAGAAGGCGAGCCCGATCAAAAGTGTATTGAGCTTCATGAAGACGTAACAAGACGTCAGTGTTGAGGCCAGAAATGCTGGGCCTAACACAGCCACCAGGCGCAGACGAGGACGCACTTCAGGAAATGGGGATGTGGCGGATAGAGCACTAGATCAAACAAACTTAATTCCAAGCCATGGGCACGAGAACCACAAGCTTTTCACTCACTTGGCCATCTTCTCATAGGTATCCGTGATGTCGCCTACCACCTGCATTGAAACGTTCGCAGCGTCCATCACGCTCTGCTTCATAGGCTGTCGTGTTTTGTCATAGGAGTCTTCCGGCACCTTTCCATGGGCGGCGGTTTGCGCATCGGCAGTATTGGCAACAATCTCCATCGCATCCGGTACGTCTTCCTCGAGAGGTGCATCATCAGGGACTCCTTGATCATGCTTCCCAACTGCGCTTCCCACAGCCACACTGGCAACGCCTGCGACAAGATTACTGGCCTCTTGCTCGGCTGCCTCGCCCTTGAATTTCTCGGGGGCACCTGTGATACTGTCATCAGATCCTAGGATTCCAGCCTTTGGCTTTTGTACACCTCCCGTGTCTTTGTTGACAAGAGGGATTGGAGCGGGAGGGAACAACAGTGATCGACATGGTGGGTACACCACCAGGGCAATTAGAGTGAGTAGCGTAGCTGGCATGAGTAAATCGAGAATCCATGATAAGAAGTAAACCTGCATCAAATCAGTAACAGTACAAATATATTATATATTTCTCTGGAACGAAGACATGCCGTGCAAAAGACTGCGGTTCGTCGCGGCTCCTTCCAAGACCGTAGTCGAGCAATATGTTTGATACAATTGGTGAAGCCAACAATAACGGTTATATAGAAACGTTCAAGTGTAGCCCTGAGTTTATCCGGTGAGAATTCATCGTCGTCTTTGCGCGTGAGATCTAATCTCTGCATGGGAGCATCTGGAATTGCTTGGACTCGATAGACTTGCTGAAGTGAAAAATAACAAGGTCAGTTCCAACTTCTCGCATGCGTTCATGTGGGATGCGCTGTACATACCTTGTCAAATCGTCTAATGAGCATCCACAAATCTTCATTTGAGAGTCCTGCCACCAAAGGTTCCTCGATAGCATCTGGAGGTTCATCCCATCCGAGATTGGTGATTTCTAGTGTGTCACCAGCTTTTTGTGAGAGCCCTTTCTCATACTGTTCCACTTGAGACAGCACATGGCTGTCAGTTGGCCCAGCACCGTCGACCGTAGCGGATGGCATTGCTTAAGACCGTTGTAAAATCCCTGGGACTAAGTTGAGGGGGATGTTTTGTTGATTTCAGGTCCCATAGCATAGGGGAGGCTACCCATGGGTGTTGAAACCTGTCTTGTACATGTGGTTTGCGGGATTAGATTGTCGACGTCATTTCCCTTCGGATCAGGGTAATGGTGGCAATTGACATGGAACAATCCTGAAGCAAATTGGATCATTTCATGTAATATGTCTACAAGGAACTGTGAAAATAGAGCGTATGGCTAGTAAGATAACACTTGGGAATTTAGAGCTGGCCTTTATTGTGCGGGTTAATTACAAAGGTTGCACGAGTTGGACCGAAAGGACCATTAGATAATAATGTCAACGAGTGTATGAAGAAAATGAGATGAATGCGAGTGGATCATATAGACCTAGTTCGTTGTAAGTCTACAAACCAAGTAGAATATGGGTTAAGAGCAGTGCTAAGACAAGACATCGATGCATCTCTGCAATGAACTTTCTTATCTTTCTTATCGGCACGTGCCAGTCGCGTTCCCAAAAAGGCAACATCACTTCGCGTCAACCGGCGAGAACTCACTTTGATGATAATTCGCTCTTCCGATCTGCCCCTCAGTCACTGGACACTTGAATCGCCATGAGCGAGGAGTGTGCAAACCCTCTACTCTTGGGGTGGATCAAAGAATGGCTGGATCAAGCTCGAGAACGAAATAGCAAAGGCGTGACAGTGTATGTATCTCTTGGCGCTCTTCAGAAAAGACCATATCTGACATTTCGCAGATACAAGAAGGCCTATGAGTCAATGAAAGCCTGCCCGTTAGAATTCCAACATCCATCTCAAGCACAGCAATTAAATGGACTGGGCCCTAAATTGTGTGACCGCTTGACTGATAAATTGAAGGCCCACTGTCAAGAAAATGGCCTTCCAATGCCGGAACCACCTGAAAAAGGTTTGTGATATCAATTTCACCCTGGCCCCGGAAACCGACGCTTAACTAGGCCAAATAGGTGGGAAGAGAATATCCGAAGGTGGCGTCGATCAACCGACAAAGAAGCCTCGGAAAGCCAAGCCGTATGTACCAACATTACGATCCGGTCCATATGCACTGATACTGGGCTTGGGAACCCAAGATGAGAATGCATCCCAGGGGATGACGAAGGCTCACCTGATCGAGGTGGCACAGCCATACTGCGACAGTTCGTTCACGGCACCACCTGACCCGACGAAGTTCTACACTGCATGGAATTCAATGAAAACTCTCATCCAGAAAGACCTAGTCTATGAACACGGACGTCCACTTCGGAAGTATCTTCTTTCTGAAGAAGGCTGGGAGGTAGCCAAACGTCTCCAAAAGACATTACCTGGCGCTGCTCAAACTGCTACGTCTGGCTCCCAAGCTACTACAACAACTGAGTCGCAGCAAGGAGCATTGACAGCCGAACTTGACTCACTTCAACAAGATGAGGATGCATCAGCAGACGCCCAAGAAAATTTATCCGAACACGACATAGCCAACATCGAGCCCATCTTCTTCCCACCCAAGAGCTTCACCATCCAACTCGTATTAGACACCCGAGAAGTCCGCACCTCCACCGACCGCGACTACATCTCCGGCGAACTGATGAAGCAAGGAATCACGCCGCAAGTACGCGCTTTGGAAGTCGGCGACGCAATGTGGGTAGCTAAATGCCATGACCCAAATTTCCTCACAAGACACGGCGAAGAAGGCGACGAAGTGATGCTGGACTGGATCGTCGAGCGAAAGCGTCTAGACGATCTGATTGGGTCTATCAAAGACGGCCGCTTCCACGAACAAAAGTTCCGGCTCCGTCGCTCCGGCATCAAGAACGTCATATACTTGATCGAAGAGTTTGCAGTCACACATCCTGACTCGACTAGTGGGAGTGCAGCACAATACCAGGAGATGGTCGCGTCGGCTATCGCCTCGACACAGGTTCTTAATCAATACTTTATCAAAAAGACGAAACATCTGGATGAGTCAATCCGGTACCTAGCGCGCATGACTCTGCTCCTGCGGAAGATGTACGGGGTCGAAGATGTGCCCTCCATCGGAGACACTGGTAGTAATATCAACCATACCACGGTTCCTCCATCTCCAGTATCCAAAATTGGCCTGATCCCCGGCCGCCGTCTCACCACTGACTCCTACCTCACCATCCTCGATAATCTCCGCTCTCAAGATCCGACTATCACATACGGAGTTTCATTCGTGACGTTCTCCGCACTCACTTCTAAGTCCGACATTCTTACTCTTCGCGATGTCTACTTAAAGATGCTCATGTGTACCCGTGGAGTGACAGGCGAAAAAGCCCTTGATATCCAGCAGATCTGGCCAACGCCGCGGCATTTAGTGGATGCGTATATGGCTCTAGAGCCCAAGGAGAGAGAAACGATGATTGCGACTCGGATGTCACAAGTCGTAGGGCGGAAGAAAATTGCTAAAGAGCTCAGCAAGCGGATTGCGGAAGTTTGGGGGGAGGTGAATTTGAATTAGAAAGGTCTCCTATCGAGGTTACTTTGGAAACAGACGTAAGTACTGAATTCATTATGTATTAGATATTAGATACAAACATAACGCTAAAACGAATCAAACGAACACCATAATATCTACTTCTTTCTTCTCACTATCTTCATAATACTTTCTTTGTCAATCCTCAAAGCTAGGCTACTCAGCACAACAGAAATACTACTTAATGCCATGGCCAGAGCAGCCCACACCGGACTAAGTCTCCAGTGCTCACTGGCCATGATCATGCCACCATCAGTACTTTTTTCATGATGGCCACTAACAATAGGATAGAGGACACCAGCAGCAACCGGAACCAAACAGAGGTTGTAGATGACAGCCCAGCCGAAGTTCATACGGACACGATTGAACACACGACGACTGAGCAGGACCAGCTGCAAAATCGTGCTGAGATCTGAGTTGAGGAGGATGAAGCTAGCAGAGTTGATAGCGACGTCGGAACCAGATGCCATGGCGATGCTCACGTCCGCTGCTGCCAAAGCGGGCGAGTCGTTCACTCCATCGCCAACGAAGGCGACAATAGTGGTCTTGCCATCGGCTGGTGTTGTATTCGGCGAACGATCTTGTATCTGACGAACAAAACTGGCTTTCTCCGCTGGCAAAACATTGGCCATCACCTTGGAGCGCGGGATGCCTATCATGTCTGCGACAGCATGGGCGGTGGTCTGGTTATCACCGGTGCACATGAAGACATCGACCTGACGCTTCTGAAGCTGAGAGATTATCTCGACAGCTTCCGGGCGAATCGTGTCTGAGGTGGCGAAGATAATGGCAGGGATGAAGTTTGATGGTTTGGTGGACTGGGTGTGTACTTGACGGAGTGAGAGAACTGCAGTCGACTTACCTGCTGACTGATATCTCGCCAACAGGTTGGAAATGAAGTATGTGTCTGTTTCAGGGGACAGGAGACTCTTGAGAAGACGTTCATTGCCAATTGCAGCTTCATACTGCCTTTCCTGCTCGGAGCCAAACACAGTAAATGTTCCTTTCATGCCTTGCCCGGATATCTCATGAACGTCTGATGACTTGACAGATGAAGATTGTTGTGTTTTGCAGAATTCAGTGATTGCTTGGGCAATCGGATGGTTGCTGCTCTCTTCCATTTTCCGAGCCAGAGCCCATGCGACTTTCACAACTTCTAGGTCACTGGTCAAAATTTCATGATCAGAGACCTTCAGACTTCCACCCTCGGTCAATGTGCCTGTCTTGTCAAAGACAATTGCATTCAAGCGACTGGCTTCTTGGAAGGCTTCACCACCACCTTTGACCAGGATACCATGCTTCGCTGCTAGGCCGCCCCCAACGAAAAGCGCCGTGGGGGCTGCAAGGGCCAGACCGCAGGGACAAGCTACAACAAACACGGAAATTGCAAATTCCAACGCCCAGAATGTCCAGCCGCCATGTGCGACATCCAGATAATCTGCGGGAAGCACACCGGAATGACCAAGCGCTAACCAGATAATGAAAGTCGAAATGGCGATCAGAGTAATAATAGGGACGAAATGCGAAGTGAGAAGATCGGCAACTCGTTCAAGCGGCGCACGCTTGCTTTGTCCCTCACGAACCACGGCAATGATTCGGTCAAGCATAGATGAACCACCGAGTTCAGTGATACGGATCCGTACCGGCTGGCCAACGTTAACTGAGCCTGTATAGACTATGTCGTCCACTGTTTTCTTGACCGGTCTGGATTCTCCTGTCAAAGAGCTTTCATCGAATTGGTATGACGCGCTGTCGACAATGACCCCATCTGCAGGAGGTGAGGTTCCATGAGGAATACTGACGACGTCACCAACCTCTAGGAGGTCAACACTCGTACGCTTCAGTCCATCTTCGGAAGTATCATCAAACAACAGTGCTTCTGAGGGTCGAAGCTTGCCCAAAGATGTAACAGCATCGCCAGTTCTGGCTTTGCTGTAAGCCTCCAGGAACCGACCAGCAAGAATAAACATAGTCAAGAAGACAACCGAGTCGAAATAAGTCGTGCTATGGGGGCTGGACTTGGTGCCCACAACTGCATCGACGATAAGTACCGCCAGGGACGAGATGTAGGCCACGGATGTCCCCGCAGAGATCAAAAGATTCATACTACCAAAACGGTAGAATCTCCGAAGGATCGGGACCCGACTTCCAGGCCGCCATAGGGCATAAACTTCCTTCAGAGCACGGACATGGAACACATCAGTGCCGTAGAACATAACCGGAGTTGTTATTATGAACAGTGCCCATTCGATGCGAGTCACACTGCCAGACCACATAGGTTGTTCCAGATACATTCGAACAGAGTTTTCAGATGAGACAAGAGACATGAATACAATGCCTATCAAGAAAGTCGGGATGGCGCTGACAAAGACGAAAAGCAATCGTGCCAACAGACGGCTCCTTTCGTGATGTTGGATCGCACGAGACCGATCTTCAATGCTGGGTGGGTGATAGACAGTCGCGCGAAAATTGTCATTC